GGGGGGGGGGGGAGCGAAACCAGTTTTAGAGGATTGGACGTAATGCGTCAGCTCCAACTGCGCTTGCCCTTTCCCTTCATCCCGCAGAACCCCGAGGTCCCCAACTCCTGGGTCGCCCCCGCGAAGCTCACCGCTTCTCCATGGAGTCGACGCTACGCAGCAGCAGCAGCCAGGAGTCGGGAGTCGCCTGGTGTCCTGGAGACAGCAGCAGGTGGTGGCCCGTGACGCTTAGCGTGCCTCTCAGGGGGGAGCCTCTGGGCCCCGCAAGAGCTCGGTTTGGGCCCCGCCGGTACCGATCAACTCAGAACTCCATTCCTCCTGTGGTGGGCCAGCAAAAAGACGGACTCCAGGAGCGTTAGGCGGCGCAAGCGCGGGCTCCAGAAGGGCCTGGAGCTCGCTGGGCAGCTGGCTCCGCCGGCAGGGCAGCTGTTAAGGAGTCCCCTTGAAGAAGGGACCACACAGTTTCAAAGGAATTTCCGCCTCTTCTTGTCAGCACCTCTTAGCAAGGACCCCAACCAGAACTTGTTAAGGAAACCTCAATTTTGCCATCTGTGAAATGGGGAGAATAATCTTGCTTAAACCTTTAACCTGGTGCCTGATTCTCAGGAGGCACTCAATATTTTTGGCTTTTTAGACTGTAGTACTGGCACTCCTGCTGACTTAAAAAAGAAAGAAAAACACCACCTCTTCTTCTGGACCATGGTGGAAGGGGTGGAAAACGTGGGTGTGAAAATGGGAACTGCTTACTTCCTCCCTTACAGCTGAGGTGAGGTGGGGTGGGGTGGGGTGGGGAAAATCCTTTGGTCTACCTTAAATGCAAGCAGCTGTGTAGCTGGCGCCCCTCCCCCACCACAGCTGGAGCTCCCTGCCTAAGGGCGCCCTCTAGGGTGGCCACTTCTGGTTTAGAACTGCCCTCTGGAGCCCCATCCCCTATCACTCCATCCTTTGACCAAATAGGAATTGCCCATACACTGAACTGGGCTCTATATTTAGTGCTGGAACTAAAGGATGACTGAGTTCTGTTCATGGGGTTTTCAATCTGGCAAGAGGCACACTTAAACTGGTAATTTACACGAGGCTACTGGAGGCCTCATCAACCCATCCATCCAATTATTATTTTCTTTCTTAAACATTGATGCCTACACTCTGTTGAGTGCTGATTGCTAAGAAGAATAAGATGGACTCCTGCCTTCAAGGGCCTCCTGGTGCACTGGGTTCCAGGCTTGGGTGTATGTGTGTTGAACCCTTCTTTCAAATAAAAAACAACAAAATTATAGGTGGACCCCCATAATATAAACATAAAATTGAAACTACTCTATGAAAGGAATCAGACATAAAAGTACAAATTGCAAACTTGCAGACCAGCAGCATCTGCTGGGATGGGAATTTGTTAGAAATGCAAATCACAACACCTCCCCCCCCTTACTAAATCAGAAACTGGGAGTGGGGCCCAGAAGTTTTTTTTTTTTAACAAATTTTCCAAGTGATTATGACACATGCTGAAGTTTTACAACCACTAGAAAGTATTTTAAAAGGGCTAAATTAATCTGTGCTGTCAGAAATTAAGGTAGTATTGCCCGTTAGAGATTAGTCACAGGCCAGGAGCACAAAGGATATACCAGCCTGAACAGTGGAATACAGCACATTGTTGCTTGGTCTGGGTGCTGGTTACATAAATGTGTTCAGTTTGGGAGAATTCATTAAGCTGTGTATTTATGACATGTGAATTTTTCTATGTGTGTTATATTTCAATAAAAAGTTTTCAAAAGAGAGCTGCTCTGGCTGAAGCCCTGGGAGGGGTCTGGAGAAGCAGGCCTAGGAACCCATCCACAGCTGTGCCCTAATCCTGCATGCAGTCTCTGAGAGATTTCCAAGGGAACCTAAAGTTCCTTAGAGTATAGCTTGAAATCAAAGATCTGTCCCAATAGAGAGTTAGTGACTTGTCCAAGGCCCCTAAGAGCCAGCGCCAGAACCCAGATTTTCTGACTACCAGGCCAGGGCTCTGGACACTTCCTTTGCTGAAGGGCCAGTGCCATGAGTGAGGACAGAGGGCAGCTTGTCAGCCTCCTATCCCCTCCCCACTCCCCTGCTTGGGTCTTGGGAAGAGGGCCAAGAAGCTGGTGTTGGTGATGCTTTCCTCATCCTGGAACAATTTCCTTTCTGGGAAACTGGGTGTCTCCTTCTGGGCAAAGACAATAAAATTCATCCAAGGGGGCCAAGGAGCAGGGCTTCTTCTGTCACCAAGCGGATGGGTATCACGTGGCTCCAGGGTTAGCGGTCCAGGAAAATCCCAGCCCTTGCACGCTCTGCCTCCCACACCCATCTACTCACTCACTCTGACACACTCAGCCTCCCCTGCCCACCTCAGACATTCACCATCAGGCACTCCCTGGCATACTTCTTTCACCCTCAGCTCTGCCACCTCTCCCTGGGCAACACTGTCAGCCTTTCCCTAATCCCAGAGCCTCAGTCTTAATCTGGCACTCACCCCAAACCCACCATGTCCCTGGGGCCACTGAAATTCCAAGCAGTGGGTGAAGAAGATGAGGAAGATGAGGAGGAAGAGAGCCTGGACTCTGTGAAGGCGCTGACGGCAAAGCTGCAGCTGCAAACACGGCGGCCTTCATACCTGGAGTGGACAGCCCAGGTCCAGAGCCAGGCCTGGCGCAGGGCCGGAGCTGGACCTGGGCAGGGAGAACCTGGGGCCATCTGCGGCTTCGACTCCATGGACTCTGCCCTTGAGTGGCTCCGACAGGAGCTGGTGAGTCTGGTGGGGTGGGCAGCCTTGCAGAGGGCCTTGGGGACAGTCCTCCAAGACCACAGGTATGGGGCGGGAATGGGAATGGGCCCCACCTCCAGCAATTGCCCATTCCTGTGGCTGTGTCCAGGGGCTGAGGAGCCAGGAAGGGATTTGTTCAGCATTTTATTCAGGAAGACTTGCTGAAGGATTCCATTCAATCTGCTGAACTTGTGCTTCTGTGGCTGAAGGGGTAGAGCCTGCTCCTTAGGCCACCAGTTACAGATGGGGAGGGCATGGCCTCCCCTACTCTGGGAATTGCTATACCTGAAGACACTGTGAAGTACATAATGAGGCACTGACCATGCTGGAGGCGAATCTGAGGAGCTGAATGTTGAATAGGTGGCTCTTAACCCAACATGTGCAAATATAAAGAGGTCCAGGATCCCAATTGAAGATTCCACTTAGTTATCTGTGATGGGGCCCCAGGCACCTGTATTTGTTTAATGATGGCTTCTTAGCTCGGTTTTAGAACCACCCGTGTGGAGCAAGGGCAGTGAGATGAGGAGGGATTAAGCTGGGATGAGAAGGGATGTGGAGGACACAGCCAGTGCAAAGACTCAGTGTGTTGACAGGAAGGGAAGAACAGGGCGAGCGCGGCTGAGGGCCAGTGCAGCCAGCTGATGCCCCTCTCGGCCGCAGCGGGAGATGCAGGCTCAGGACCGGCTGCTGGCGGGGCAGCTGCTTCGCCTGCGGGCCCAGCTGCACCGGCTGAAGGTGGACCAGGTCTGTCATCTGCACCAAGAGCTGCTGGATGAGGCCGAACTGGAGCTGGAGCTGGAACTGGAGCCGGGGGCCGGCCTGGCCCTGGCCCCCCCGCTGAGGCACCTCGGCCTCACACGCATGAACATCAGCGCCCGACGTTTTACCCTCTGCTGAGGTGAACCTGTATGCCTACTGAGCCACCCGCTACCCATTTTCCCCAGCCCACCTGGAATGGGGGAAGTGATTGTGCCTCAGAGGCACCAGCACCTGGCAAGAGTGGGGGTTGGTGGGTACAGTCCGCTCTAGGAGCATAAAGCCCCAGCATCCTGTTCCTGCTGCCGCCCCAGCTGTGTGGGGAGGGGGGGTGGGTAGGAGCTCACAGACCCCCAGGCTCTTCAATAAATGCCCTCTCTGCTTCCCATCCAGGTCTCTGCAGTCATTTATTCAGGCCAAGGTCGCAGAATGTCTTCTGTTGCTGGGACCAGGGATTCATTTCAGGAGAGAAGGCCTGGGTTGGGGGTGCACATGAATTAATGGATACCAATCACCCCACAGCTCTAGCTCTATCTTATCAAGATCAGAATTGGGAAATAACTTAAAATCCTAAATGACCCCCATGGAAGGTGACTTGGGTAAATGGGCAGCTGAAGAATGCAGATCTGACAGACTTGAATTCAAAGTCAGTTCCACCATTTATTTTTATCAGACCTTGAGGAGGTCCCTTAATTTTTAAATCTGTTCCTTTATTCCTAAAATGCAAGTGCTAATTCTCATGACACAAGTAGTTAGACATGTCTTAAGTGTGATAATGCACAGTAGCACTCAATAAATGTGAGCTATCAATCGCTTATCATTACTATCTCCAGTGCTATTACTATCAATCAGGCTGAGGCCCAGAGACAGGCTGTGAAGGGGCGCTGAGGCCTGCAGCCCAGACTCTGAGCTATGTGTCACCGTAGGGTTTTTTTGGTGTGTTTTTTAAACTTAGTCTCTCTCAGCCTTTGTTTCTGTGTTACCCTCTTTGTCTGAATTTCCAACTAAGGCTTCCTCTCCCCCCACCCATTTCCTGTCTCCTCTTCCCTCGGCAGCTGAGGCTCACACAGAACAGCTTCCACCTCACAAACCCCAACAATGCTCTGTGGGTTCCCCTCCCCCAATCTGCTCACTCAGTAGCTTAGGCAGTGGCTGGTGACGCATTTATACTTTCCTCTGGGAGGGGTCAAGGCTCTTGGGCCTGATAAAGGCAGCCTAGAGTTTCTTAGAACACTGATGACCTGGCCCTGAGCCTATGACTGTGCCACCTTCAGCGTGGCCCCAGGTTAAAGGGAGATTCTTGGCCTGCTTGTTGCCTGAGACAAGGTTCCTGCCTCCTGCCTATAACAGAAAGCACTGCCAGTCTGCTGCCTGCACCTGGGTGCCCAGGAAAGGGGTGTTTGTTCTGTCTTCAGGAGATGGTGCCAGGCCCGCACCTTTAACAGGGTCTGTGGCCTTGCCTCTACCTGAATTAGAAGTGGTCCCCTACTTTCCAACCATGAGTGTTGTACCGCCTGCTTCCTTAAACAGCTTGTTGTCCGGCATCTGTCTGTAAGAGGAGTGTTAGCCTACCCTTTGACTGTAATAAGCTATTGCCCTGTGCCCTGAAGTGATATGGTTGTTATTCTGACTGCAGTGGCCATGTTAGCCTGACATCTGACTGTAACATGGGGGTTCTGCTCTCCAACTACTTAACAGGGATGTTGGACTCCCCTCTGACTCGGAAGTGATGTTACCTTTGCCTCAGACTATAATGAAAGGGTCCTTAACTCTCAGACTGTGAGAGCAGTGCTTCTTGCCTTTCACTGACAAGCGAGTGTGTGTCTGCTTGCCCCTGCTCAGTGGGGTTTAAAGGCTGCCCTGGAATCTCTTGTCCAGGTGCATCCTGGAGGGCAGGAGGGAGATTCCATCAAATATCCTCCCTTCTCCTCCAAGTGCCATCCTCAAGGTGAGTCGGGCTAAGCCTGGAGGTGTACAGGACCCTCAGGGACTGAGGCGCAGGGGGCTATGGTGGCAGGAAGCTTGGGGTGCTGGAGGCTTGTGGTTGGGCTACTGGGGCCCGGTTGGCTGAGGAGCCCTCAGGAGGAGGCAGGAAGTCAGGGTGGGACGTGGGCGCGAGGAGTCAGGTGGTAGCTACAACGACGGCGAGGGGAGCTGAAACTGTCTGGGCAGTGAGGCTAGGCCAGGAGGATCATGTGAATGGGGCCAGGGGGCTCCTGGGCTGGACAGGTAAGGAGTCTTGGGAATAAGGGTGGAGGGGCTGTTTTGAGGGGCCTGATAGCAGGGGGCTGAAACTAGACACGGGGCCAGGCTGCCTGGGTATGCAGCAGCCCTGTAGGCTGGGGGACAGACGAACGTTGCTGGAGGTCACGTAGGAGGCAGGCAGTGCAGCCAGATCACCTCTTTCCTGCGTAGTTGTTGGCTCTTGGTTCCGCGACACTGCCCACCGTCAGCCTCCACCTCACTGGGAGATCTGGGACATGGGCGGTCAGGTATTAAAAAGGCCTCCAGAAATCCCCAAGCCCAGTGCTCGCTTCAGTAGCACGTATACAAAAAAAAAAGAAAGAAACAGAAATCCCCAAGTCCAGTTCCTCATCCCGTGATGGATGAATCTCCTGACACCCAGAGAGGGCCAAGCACCCCCTCCCTGCAGGTCCTCAGTGAGGCACTGGCAGAGCCAGGTCTTGGGAAAGAGTGACAGTCTGGGCTGTGATCTCCCATGGAGTAGAGTAATGGACAGGCTTGAGTCAAGGGACCCTGGAATCCTTTTGGTTGTTGGAGCAGACCCCGGTGACAAGAATCTCCTGAGAGAGATCGGAGTCACCCAGAGCATTTGGGTGGATGTGAGTGAAGTGACCTTAGCCTCAGTGACCAGCATTGCTTGAGAGAGGGAGGAGTCTCACGCTGGGAGTGGTGGATATGTGAGGGCATATTTATCGTCTGGGCTGGGGCCTTCATCTGACCGGACGCTGGGAAGTTGGAGAGGAGAAAATGAGGAGAAAGGGGGAGAGGAAGGGCTATTTTTATCCCAGACAGGGTGCAGTTGGCCCTGAGAGACTAACGTCTGAACTTCCATCTGGAAAGTTGCCATTCCTTCCTCTGCCAAATGTCACAGGATGGCCTCTCCTCTCCCTTCACCTGCTAGCTCCCGCTGTACCCCCCACCTCCCTCCCACACACAGAGACTGCATATGTAGGGCCAATTGGTCCTGTAGATTTCTGCTTCAAACCCTGGCAAGGTGGAGGCCCAGGAAGGCATAGTCAGCTAACTGTAACTGCCCACCCCCTCACCCGCCATCTAACTCTCAGCCTTCAGTTTGTGGGGAGAGTCCCCACCTGCACCAGGCCTTCCAGGTTTCCCCTGCCATTGGAGTTTATCTTGACACACAATTTCCACCTAGTCAGCATGTCCCAACATTTCTCCTGTCCCCAGCTCTAAGGCCTGCAGACTTTTTTGGGGGCTCAGGAACAGGCTGGCTGTCCCTGCACTTCAGAGGAGCTCATCCACCCTGGACAGGCTTAAGCAGTCCCCCAAGCCACCAATCCAGCCTGTGCTGAGAGATAACTCAGGGCTCAGGGTCAGAGGTTTTTCTCAAAGGGAAAAAGGGCCAAGTGATGGGGCAAAGGACAGGCTGAGGGTTCAGAGGATGGGCGAAGACATCCCTTAGGTGACCCGGAGGGCTTCCTGGAAGAGTTAAGACAGTTCTGAGGACAAAGGCCCATTTTGGAGAGTACCTAAAACATGAGGCCAAGGCCACTGTCCCTGAGACCTGTTCCTTGGGTACCATGAGAGCAGAGACCTCAGAGCAAAACCAAATGCAAGAAAGCTGATGCAAATGACATTCAGAGGGAGGCAGACCCCAGGCACAATTCCGGTTCTTCCATTTTCTTGAACAAGTGGCTTCACCTCTCCAAACTCCAGTTTACTTACTTAAAAAGGCAATAATGAATCTCTCCCTTATAGAGTGCTTGTGGGTAATCAAAGAGAAAATAATGACTATGATGTGCCATGGGTAGTCCTTGACACATAGTAGGTGCTTAACAGAGGTCCTCCTGAAAAGGGAGGGCTTTCCACACCCAGAATTACTCCCACTTAGTGCTTTGGCAAACCAGTGAACCACCTATTCCCTCACACTTGTGGTGTGGCTTTGCAAATGAGCTTGTTTCCTGTGTATAGTGGGTGTGAGAATTACAGGCTAAGCTACAGGCCTACTTTAGAGGAGGGTCCCCCACAGCTACACACACACACACACACACACACACCCTCCCTATCCCAAACACCATACATATCATTGAAAAATATATGTATGCATGTATGTTTAGAGGCAGAGGCAGGGACTACACATACAACATACGCTAAACCCTACAAGTCCATATGCATGCCCACAAACTGATGGCTTAATTCGGTGAAAGTAATGCTGAGAGGAGCTGGTGTGTGGGTGGCATGGGGACGTGCAGGACCAAGATACAATCCAGGGGTGTGGCCTCCTCTAACAACCAACTTTAGTGTTGGTTTTAAAGTATCTGGAGCTGACCTTGGCCAGTTTGGCTCAGTGGTTTTAGAATCTCGGCCTGTGGACTGAAGGGTCCCCGATTTGACTCTGGCCAAGGGCACATACCTCAGCTGTAGGCATGATCCCCACAGGGCAAGTGTGAGAGGCAACCAGTCGATGTGTCTCTCTCACATCGATGTTTCTCTCTCTCTCTCTTCCTCTCTCTCCCCCTTCCACTCTCTCTGAAAAGCAATGGAAAAAATATCCTCTGGTGAGGATTAAAAATAAATAAATAAATAAATAAATAAAGTATCTGGAGCTGCATTTGCATCGCTTGTTCTAAAGAACACTAGTTCCGGCCCGGCCGGGTGTGGCTCAGCCATTGAGCGTCAACCTAGGATCCAGGCGATCGAGGTTCGATTCCCGGTCAGGGCATATGCTCGGGTTGCGGGCTAGCCGATCAGTGACTCTTGTCATTGATGTTTCTATCTCTGTCTCTCCCTCTCCTTTCCTCTCTCTGAAATCAATAAAGATATATTTTAAAAAAGAACAAAAAAAGAACACTAGTTCCATGAGGCAACTGCAAAGAAAAGGGTTCTGGGGCCAAAGCAACATGGCCTCAGCTACAAACTGTCCCGTATTAACTTCATGGTCAACGTGAGCTTATTAAAGCTCTGAAGTCCCTCCAGAGAGGGAGCCAGATTGATTTTGTCTAATCCAGTGTTTCCCAAACTTCCTTTTTTTCCAGTATCACCTCTTCCATGCCTGTACCTTTTGAGACAAGGAGAGGAATGGAAAGGGCTGTAGAGCTGATCCTTCTCAAATGATCATGTCTCTTAGCAGAGTGTCTGCGTTGATGGTGGTTTTGTTGTTTTTTGTTTTTCAAGTACAAAATTAGCACAGTATAGAGGCATATTAAGAAGTACAAGAAATGTAGCTCCCTAGAATTCCTGGGGTGTGCTCACTGTGGACAATCTGGTGTGCACTCTTCCAGAATTTCTTTTGTATGGCTACTGAAAAGCCTTGTGGTTAAGAGCCTAGTCTCTGGTGGCAGGTAGACCCAGGCTTGAATCACCACTCCACCACTTATTTGTTTGTTATGAGGCTTCAGACAAATCGATTTACCCCATTTGGGCCTCAATTTTTGCATCTGTAAGATGGAGATAATAATAGCACTTACTTCGCTGGATAATTATGAGAATTACATGAAATCATGCAAATAAAAGCTTAGCACAGAGCCCCGCTTAAAAGAATCCCCTAAATATATACACATATTTAATGCAAATAGGTTTATACTCTACATTCTGTTCCGTAACTTCTTACCATGTTATATCTGGGACATCTTTCCATGTCCATACTTGGAGATCTACCCCACGTTTTTAAGTTTTAGCTAACCGTCGTTAACTTGGTAAGTGAGTAATGGTGGTGATTTTGAAATGCTATTTCCTGGCAAGTACTGCTGTTTTGGTTTGTCAGTGTTGTTGGGAGTCACTGACATTACCGATCAGTGAGCTGAAGACAGGGTTTTTGGCTTCCTGTGAAAATGGGGTAGCCTGCCAGAGGGCCATGCACCTCAGTCACAGAGGGCAGGGCCAGGTGGATGGGAACCTCTCTGTTTGCTCACCTCATGTCCCTAGAGCTAGATCAGAGCTTGGCACATAAAAAATGCCAGTTAAATTTTTGTCAGTAGGCTGGCAAATTAAGAAAATTGTGCCTGCCCGGGTTGGTGTGGCTCAGTTGGTTGAGTGCTGTCCCGTGCACCAAAAGGTTTGCTGGTTAGATTCTCAGTCAGGGTGCATGCCCAGGTTTTGGATTCAGTTCTGGTCAGGGTGTGTACCAGAGGCAACTGACCAATGTTTCTCTCTCCTTTATCCCTTCCCTTCTCTCTAAAACCAATAAAGCCATATTTTTTAAAAAAGGTAAAAGAAAAGAAAATTGCGACCCTAGCCAGTTTGGCTCAGTGGTTAGAGTGTCAGCCCATGGACTGAAGGGTCCCAGGTTTGATTCTGACCAAGGGCATGTACCTCAGTTGCAGGCTCTATCCCGGCCCTGGTTTGGGGCACGTGCAGGAGGAAACAAATCAATGTGTCTCTCTCACATTGATATTTTTCTCTCTCTCTCTCTTTTCCATTCTCTGCAATGGGAAAAATATCCTCGGGTGAAGATTAAAAAAAAGAAAAGAAAATTGTGCCTCTTCTAACTCACTGACAGAAGCCTAAGCTCAAAATTGTCTCACAATACAGCATTTCCAAAAATATCGCCTGTGCACCATTGATGTAGGTGAATGATTTTAGGGGTAACGAATGGAGGTTTACAAATGTGAATTTATGTATTATATTATATGTTTGTTTTCATGTATGCTGATTTCTATTTATGGCTGGTGATGCTGATTTTCCATTTATGGTAGTAAAGTTTCATCTTAGATAAATATATTAAAGGAGGGAAGGTGGTCCATGAAAGCACCAAAAATGTCAAAGAAAAATTAAAATGATTCATAATTTTAGCCTGAACAATGTTTAGTGCTGTTGTGAAAAAATGCTCATGCTAGCCTCAAATAACCATTATTCTAATTTATTTAGTCCTTACCATGTGCCAAGCACCACACTAAGCACTTTATTATGTGGGATCATTTATATATCATATGTAATGCTCACAATATCCCTATAAGCAGGTCCTATTTTTATTCTCATTTTATAGATGAAGTCACTGAGGGAAGCTGGGAAAGATTTAGTAACCT